CGTTTAGCTCTGTATCAGACTATAAAGCCGACCAAGCAGTGTCGTCGGGTCCTGACACGCCGCTACCAGACTGGTGGTCCAGTAGCCGCCAGAAGGAACTGAAGGGAGTGGACGAGTCGCAGGGACACACTTGGGCGTTCCGACGAGCCGCGAACTTGATTCGGGAGAGTTTGGAACTGGGCTCCGATGGCGGCGTGATCTTCGTGGAGAACAGCAACAGTCCGATGCTGGACACGGACACTGGCAGCGATGGCTCTGTGGAAGGTAACACTCCTGCACCAGTGCTGGCAATTTCCACCAACGATGAGCCGTTTGCGCCGGGGCCAGGCTCCAAGATGCTCTATCCTGCCGCGAATCTCGACAGCGCGTTTCTGCACCAGCTCCTGCGACGCTACAGTAAGGGGAAGTTGTGGTCGTTCCATCGGGACGGTATGATCTCCAGCTCCGATGACGAGACCCCTCGACAAAGCCGATCGCGTGCGCCGAAGGGTCCCGAGATCGGCAAAGGCGGGCCGAAAAAGTGGAAATCCATGGAGAACTCCATGCTGAATCTTTACTTTCCCAATGCGACTCAGGTTCTCTTCGTGCCGCTATGGAATTCCGCCAACTCACAATGGTTCTCCGGGTGCTTCTGCTGGAACACGGAAGAGACGCGCGTCTTCAGCTCGTCCGTGGAGCTCAGCTCAATTTTAGGGTTTGGTTCCTCCATCATGGCCGAGTGTAACCGGGTCGAGTCGCTCATTTCCGACCGGCAAAAGGGCGACTTCATTGGCAGCATCTCGTAAGTTGGGTCCTCTTGCGTGTTTCACTAGATACTAACCTTGTTCAGACATGAGTTGCGCAGTCCGCTGCACGGTATCTTGGCAGCCGCCGAGTTCTTGAATGGGACGAACCTGGATGAATTTCAGGGTTCTCTGCTGGAGACCATCAACGCATGTGGACGCACCTTGCTGGATACAATGAACCAGGTACTCGATTTTAGCAAGATCGTATCGTTGGAACGAACATATCGCAGTCTGAAGCGGAACAAGACATCGTCCACAGACGTCAAGAGCATGGACCGGTTTTCTTCCCACTTGGACACTTACGTGGCGACCGACTTGGCCCTTCTGGCCGAGGAAGTGGTAGAAGGCGTGTGCCTGGGTCATGCATATGGTCAAAGATCTGCTGCTCCTTACGACCAACCGGTTGTCTTGCCTCTTGCTCAGCAGGGCCAGATCCAGCCCGACAAAGAAACGAAACCGAAACCCCGTTCTGAAGTTGAGGTGGTCGTGGACATTGCTCACAACGACTGGGTCTATCAGACGCAGCCCGGAGCTCTGCGACGTATTGTCATGAACATCTTTGGCAACGCCATGAAATACACGCAAAGTGGCCGCGTGTCGCTACACTTGGAAGTTACGGAGGCATCCGAGGGCCGCGTGCGTCGGAATGGTGTCGAAGAGCTAGTGACTTTGACGGTGTCGGACACCGGCAAGGGTATCTCGGAGGAGTTCCTGCGTGGTCGCCTGTACACGCCTTTCGCCCAAGAGGACACGCTTGCAGTCGGCACGGGCCTGGGTCTCTCGATCGTGAGGAGTCTTGTCAAGGCCCTGAAGGGCAGCATCAACATCCATAGCCGGCCGGGCGAGGGAACCATTGTCAAGGTCTCATTGCCTCTCGTGCGACCTGGTCCGGAACTGGAGCTGGAAGAACCTGTCCGTCCCGTGTCGCCATCTACGAGAGAGCAGGAGATGTTAACCGAGTGCCGTCTGCTGCGCGAGAACCATGTCGGCCGACGCGCCGCCATTCTTGGCGTGGATCCTGCCGACGCTTCCTCTCATCCGCTATGGTCCATCTACTCGCGATACCTGGTCGACTGGTACGGCCTGGAGCTTGTTTCGTGGCCGTCGGGCACGCCCGTCGATGTCATCCTGGCGGAGGAGCAGAGCCTATTGGAGGGCATGAGGCCAAGTGGCGACGCGACTCTCCCTTCGCTCTTGATCCTCTGCAACAAATCCGTCGATTACACGACCGCGCGTTCGCAATGGGCATCCTTGGCGAACGTGGTAAACATTGTTTGCCGCCCATGTGGACCACACAAGCTCGCTCGCAGCATCCGCAGATGTCTCGATACGCAGAGTGGAAACACAGCGCCACACACCATCGAGCTCCCCGAACGGCCACGCCAAACTACCATATCCTCCGGAAGCGACCTTTCACCCGGAGAGAGGCTATTCGAAATCTCAACCGACACCTCCGAGCTTGCCCCAGAGATGACCATCAGCTCCGGCTCGACCTCATCAGCCGAGTATCCTCGCTCCCAAGACTCCGACGGCATGGATGCCCCCCTATACACCATCAACTCACCTCTCCCGATCCGTGCCCCATCTCCCTTCAAACAACCTATTTTAACACAAACCGAAACCGAGCGACGCGCCCGCGTCCTAGTCGTCGATGACAACAGCATCAACCTGAACCTGATGCTCACATTCATGAAAAAGCGGCACCTCGCTGCTCTCGACTCCGCCGAGAACGGCAAATTAGCCGTCGACGCAGTCGAACGCGCCCAACAGGGCTACGACATCATCTTCATGGGTTAGTCCCCCTCTCGTCCCCAACTTTACAGATACACTTTATCCATGCTAACACAAAATAACACAGATATGTCCATGCCCGTAATGAACGGCTTCGAAGCCACACGCGCCATCCGCGCCCTCGAAAAAGAGCGCGGCGCAACGTACAAGCCAGCCGTCATCATCGCATTAACAGGACTGAGCAGCTCGCGCGATGAATCAGAGGCTCTAACCTCGGGCGTTAATCTGTTCCTTACAAAGCCAGTGTCGTTTAAGGAGGTGTCGCGGTTGTTAACGGAGTGGGAGGAGAAGGGATTGGATGATCGGATATCTATGTCGGGACAGGGACAGGGACAGCAGGGGTTGGCGTCTAGTTGATGTTACTGTGGTGCGGTGTGGTGTTTACTCTTTTCTTTGATTGCTGTTATTTCGCGTTTGCTTTTAGAGTTGTTTATTTGGGATTACTCCGTATACGGGGCATGAGGCATGAGTGATACCCTGGTTGTTCTTGGCGTTTCGGGTGTTCTTATGTTCACTGGCATCATACATGCATGGTTCTTTGGGGTGTGAGATGGGGAGGGGATTTGATATGTGATGCATATTCTACATTGATACACATACTACTGCTACTACAGCGAGTGACTTGTTTTAGAAGGACATATGCATATGCGGTCCAATCAAACTACTATCAAATGAACCACTCCCTCTTTAACACCAAGCCACCGAACACTCCTGCCATGTCCAAACTCCCTAGTAAAGAAAGTCTTCTACCTGGCAGCAACACCCTCCTGCATGGCTCCCAAATGCTCCCATGCCAGCGTATCCTCTCCCAAACTCCACGCCATAACACCTCCTAGTCCCAGCTTATCGACGATATCGGTGAACTTGCGTGCAATCATGTCTGCGGTATCCCACGTCCAGAACACATTGACCTGGTCATCGAAGTAGTACTCTCCACCCATGACATCATCCAATTTAGCGTTTTCTTGCGCGCGCCGCCATGAATCCGTAATTGAGATGCCTTTGCATGTTCCGTAGTCAGATAGACAACCTGCTTGGCAGAAGTCGTCGGTTGTACCGCTACATCGCCACATATTAGCATACACCGTTCGCAAGGAGAGTAGGAGTCGTTGACATACCAGTTTCCGTACTGACTGCAGCAACTTCCAGCGGGACACTTCATCCCCTTGTCAAATCCACACGTGCCATCCGTACTCGTCTTCAGATTAGCCGGAGGCGCACTCATAACACTCTTTTCAAAAGTCAAACTCCCACTTTTCCCGTTATCGCTTCCATCCGCGTTCTCCATTACGACAACCTTGCACCCAATCGGCTGGTCCTCACACTCCTGCTCATCGCTGGGATCTGTCTCAAACCACTTGGCATAATACGCCATTCCCAAGTTTGTCTTATTACCAGGGAGGCCAATATCCCGATACGCCTGCACTGTATTAAATGAATCCACGACAGATGTATGGTGCATAGTGACATTATTCCGGCGGTTCATGAGATCGTACGACATGATGTTCACCATATCGACTGAGGGCCAGATCTGCGGGCCTGTGGTGTTGGTGAAGGCGATCATGTCTTCTTTCTTGCCAGGGACCGCAATAGAGAGGAGTTTGTTGGGGCCGAGGGCGCTCCGCAGCGCTTGCAGGAATAAGGGGTAGGTGGTTATTTCAGACACTTTGGCACTGTTCGGTGTTGTCTTGTAGTCTTGGCCATTACCGCCGGGGTATTCCCAATCTATGTCTACACGTTTCTGGTCAATACCAATTGCAGGAGGGGTGGCGAGGACGTGTATAGAGACATACCAACACCATCGAAACCAACCTGATTCACCATAGCTGCTACATTCTTCGCATACTGGTTGCGAGAAGTCTCATCTTTCGCGGCCGTCGAGAACCCCGAGGTATCGCCCCATCCGCCGATGGCGATCATGAGCTTAGTCCCCGGGCTGAAGCGACTGCGCATGGTGGAGACAGACTCGAAGGGGGTAAATTGTGGGGGAGAGTCAGAATTGAAGAGCGTAGACTGGGCGAAAGCCATGATAGCGTGCGTGATGCCTTGGGTTTGGTTGGCGCCGGGGAGGCCACTTGTGTGGTACCTGATTCCCCGTTGTTGTTAGATGCGTATGAAAGGAGATAATATGAGGATGTTGTTAGTACTCACTCATCAACGTACATGGCGAACCGCATGCTCGCCACGCACTGCAGGCTCATTAGGCTGAGAGCGATTAATTTCATTTTGCTAATAATTGTTGATTAAGACCTTGGTCCTGCGTTGTCCCACCTGAGGACAGAAAACAGAGGTATAAATGGCAGTGTTGCGCGCTTCTTTTTGGGTCAACTCCGAGGCTGTGGTGCTAAATATGTAACTCTTGTGGCACCATTTGCTGCCTATCGAACGGGGCCTACCGTTATGAGGGACAGATAGCAACTCCTACCATTCCGATCAGTCTGGGGTCATCGCCGTAACATTCTGGAGAAGATGCCGGGTGGATGCTCGATCGCGGAGATGGAGGCCAGGCATGTCCGTGGCTGCAGAAACACTAGTTTCCAGTTATAGCATAGCTTGAATGGGGGGAGTGACTTGCTGAGACATAAAATGGGGGCGTTTGGGGAAGCTGCGATGGAGAGTCGCCACAAAAGGCAACAAACATACCAAACGGCATTCCGGCATGTTGCGGCCTTGGTAGGATTGTGACTGGACTGCATTGCTGGATGAGACATCAAAAGCTACATCTATTGGTATTTGTCAATCAGATTGTTGCGTCTTATTTCTAGTCTGAGCTGACTCGTACAAAACAGAGTCTCAATGTCAAACTTCATTATTAGCGCTAGACAAGTCTGAATATAAACTGTAGGGTATCTTCTAAAGGAAATATCAAGCTGAGAAAGCGTACAGCTAATCCCAATGCCGCCGGATGATCGGCCGCGCAGGGTCCCATGGTCCTGTCACCACATTCTTATACTTTTGTAAGCTGATGAGCCACCAGCTGCATCCCCCCATGGCCAGCGCCGTCAGGATGCTCCCCAGGATCGAGCCAACCACCGCCGCCATCCATCCTCCCCGCAGGGTGATCCCCACCGCGCCGCCAGCAACCCCGACCAGAGCCAAGGTCAGCAGCACATGCCCAGTCCAGGACACATGACGCAGCTGCCGGCGAAAAATGGGAAAGAGCCCGAACACCTCAATCGAGAATAACATCAAGCTGAACACATGTGTGGTAGAAGGTAGGCGCGACGCCAGTACCGTCGAGGCCATCACCGCTGCATTAGTGGACAGAGAAGCCGGGAACTTGGTGGCGCCTGCGCCCTCCCCACTCCCATAGTCAAAGGAGAAGATGTTCATGATCAAGAGCCAGCAACTCATGGCCCAGATCGAATCACTCGCCGTAGACTTGGTAAGTGACTTGAGGATCGGACTGAGCCCGAGCAGCGCGAAGTAGATCAGAAACGCCGATTTCACAGTGGACAGCCGCTGCCGATTCCGCGAAGAAAACATCGACAGGTAGTCTGGCTCCTGAGAACCGCCACCCAAGGTCCCGTTCGCAGGCCCAGGCGTAGGTGAAGCGGGTTCCTGAGCCCCGTAGGCATCACTCACATACCCCGTGCTGTGTCGCCGGAGCAGTTCACTTGACTCGCCCTGCGACATGTTCAACCCCAGCCCATGCACCTGGTTCTCCTTTTGGCCATTGGCTCGCGAGCTAGTGCCAGACGGATTGACAGAGCTGGTCATGGAACTAGCACTGGAGCCATCGTCACCCTCCAGTGACCGCTCCGCAACATGCGCATTTTCCACATGCTCCCTCAGTATCCACGAGTCCCAAAAGATCCATCCCAACGCTGTCCCGACACTGCCCCAGCAGACCACCGAGACCGGGCTCACGCGGCCCTGTACAATGCCGACAAAGCAACACACAAATATAGCCACGGAGCTAACATGTTGTACAATGACCGTGGAGTCGGCCACTAGCGGCCAGAAATCGTAGGGCCGCACTCGGGGGTTCCGCTGGAGGTGGTCAAGAAACGTCTCCGTGTCGGTGTAATTATCCGGGTCTAGGATCATCAGTATTTCCTGCCATATATGTTTTGCAGTGGGTATAAGCGCACATGATTGTTTCACCCACAGCAGCTTCTTCCATGCGCCCTTTCGTCGTCTCCGTCTGCTGGTCCCGCGCACCTTGCGACTCCCTACTCCTGGGACCGCCGGCGGCGGTCGCAGGGCCGCCACGGAGGCGGCAGTGCCCGAATTGCCATTGAGCGCTCGGAGAGATTCATCGTACCCCGTCTGGGTCGGCCGGGCCCGAGGCAGGGACGAGGTGTAATATGCATCTTCAGGGGCCAGCCGGTTGGGATCCGGGAGAGCTCGTTGCGCGGCGGTAGGCTTTACGCCAACCGTGCGGTTCGGATGGGTCTCGACGGGAACGGGGGGAGGAACCGGAGGAGGCGAGTCGGGCAGGGAAGGCATGGAGGAGCAGCGGGATTCATGCTTGTAGCATGATGTGATGGATCTATAGTTGTCGCTGAAGACACAATTGCGCTGGTCGGTGACGCGAATCACTCACCAATTCAGACCTGCAGCCACGTGGTGATTAGTCAGCTATACTGCTCTGGACGAATGCATCTCTCTGGGGTGGAATTACGCGCCGGAAAAAGAGATTGCCAATTATATTATGTATTTTGATAGAAAATATTTCACAATTTGCCTGAATGACAGCATACAGCGCATAGCTCCCGACAACACTTTCACTCATGTCTGTAATACGTGCAGAACGTCAATCACAATCCGGTCCAAGCTATCCTCCAGACTCTGTGCCTGCTCAACTAAGAGTCGAAACTCTCCGTCACTGTCTTCGAACAGATAGTGTTGTTCACGCTGTGACGAGATCTGACATACCAGTATCTTAACCTGGGCGTCTCTGTCGCAAGCCTGATAGAATGCCGTGGCTTTATCAAATAGCTCCTTCCTCGATCTACACTCGTCCAGTGGGATATAACGTATCGCTCCGATGACTCTCTGAGACCCAAGCCTAAATACAACCTTGCTAGGCTTCATAGGCTCAGTGGTGTTGCTCGTATTGCTGGTGTCGGTAGTTTTATGTCGTTTATGTGGTGGTGAGGGCACATATTTCTCTTCTTCCGAAGATGAACCTTCTTCCGATGAAGATGACGATGCCCCGACTGAACTTTCTGCGCTCGCAATCGTGCGACCTCTCATCGAGTATCTTGTCGAGGAACCTGCTTTAACTGACTTCCTTGTGTCTGTTTTATCTTTCGGAGTTTTGGGACGGGTGATCGAAGAAGCTCTTGTGGCATCCTCGCCTGAGGAATCCTGGAGCTCCTTTAGGTGGTCCCAGGCTTCCGCAGAGTATTCAATTTCTTTCAAGTCGTTGCTAAACACTCGAACTGCGCAGTGCTCTAGTTCCTCTTTCTCATTGACGCCTGACCATGGCCTAAGGTACGTGCCATGGACAGTGCGATGAGGCGGGTCGCAGTACACGAATCTCGCCGTGCCATCCGCCTCATGTAACACGAGCGCATAGTACTTGCGCGGTTTGGTGACGAGGTACCATGCCAGCTCGACCTCATTGCCCTGCCGATCAAACACTTTCCAGACCATTGACCCCAGAATTTTACTGAATTTGCACCTCGGATATTCGTTCCCCTTCTCTTGGTGCCATTGTTCCAAAATTGTCATGAGATAACTGGGAAACGGGATGTCGGGTCCAAGTTCTGGCTTCGGGTTGACCTGCACCGCCTGATCTTCGTTATCGTCTGGGTGAGAACCATCGGCAGAGATTGTTGGCTTCTGTTCTTCGTCGTCAGATTCCGTGTGGACGATGTGGCGAGAGATGCGTCTCACCCTAGTGATGGCGCAGGAGAGCTGTCAGCTAACATGTATCTGAAAGCAACAATTGATCTTACCTTTCCTTCCAGAAGATGACACCGTCTGGATGCGCAGGGTCCATTTTTCAGTCTGGACGCGAGAGTTAGCAAGGGTTAGCGCAAGTCAAGAGTGCCTGCCGACATTTCGCGTATGACTTACTCCTTGAGAAAAGAAATTGACGCGTTTGCTAGACAATGACACGCCTGCTGATGATAGATACCTAGCTCAAAGAATTCTAAAGACGTCTGACAGTTGGCCTTATTCTCGTTAGGCTGGTTTTCATACAGAAGGAGCTTAAGCATAATGTGGCTTGTCTGTCAAAACTTTCAAGCAATGGAGGTGCCTTGCCACACGCGCAAGTCACCGTTGTTGGTATCTCACAAATGAATAGTATGAAGCCCGATTATGACTAGTGAAGCATGTTCCAGTTTAGCATCTCTAAATTTAAGTCGATAGGCTCGGTGTGTCCCGTACAAGTGTAAAATCAATTCAATTGAAACCACCAACTTAGTGGAAAGGTGAGGCAGCTTGCAGCCAATGTCTCGGATTCTGGAGAGTATGGATGCAGCAGAGCAGAGTCAAAGCCTAAGCCCTGGGAATCAAGGCACATGCACAGGTTCAACGTGAAATCAAAGACCCGTGAAACGCAATAGAGTGGATCACCAAGAAGATCCTGACAGCTCGATGCGTCAAGAGTGAAGAAGATGGACTGCTCCGCAGGCTCTATCGTACATTACCCCCCAGGTATGGGACCGTATTGCTTGACGCGTTCCGGAAACCACCGATAGTTTTCTTCACCTCAGTAATTGGCAAACTAGTAGTAATGCATGTTCCTAACATATTGCGGGTCTTCATCTACCCATAACCCCGGGATGGGTAGTCCGGGGAAAGTATGCATGCATCCCCATCAAACTCAAACATTCATATAGCGCTTCTTCGCTCACGCCCACAAAGTCCAACAGCAGAGGCAACAACCCTTTCTGTGCGATTGAAGACAAATGCAAGCCAAGGCACTCTAGACTACTCTGTTTTATCCTTTCAAACGCAGATCCAGCGGCCAGCTGCATCTACCCGGAGCAAAATACGAACGGATCTTTGTTTGCTCTTCTCCTTTAACACGGCGTTGGGGAGTCAAGCCCACCAGCTAATGTCCAAACCTGTTTCCTTCCGGGCCAATATTGGCTATCTCCGTTTGGCTTGAACTTTACTTCCAGTTTTCCTGCCCGACGGAGCGGCAGGCTAAACGTGCAATCACTCAACCAGAGCACACTAACCACCAAATATATATCAGTCGAAACTGAAGCCTACTTACTACTAAAAGATCCAGTTAAACAACTTGGGCATGCTTCATCTATAGATGATTGGGATGGCTTAATCACCAGTCAAGGACTATGTGACTCGCCACACTCATATACACAACAACAAAACCGCCTAGCTGGCAACAAGCCCGACGATAGCATGATCAGACTGGGCCCTTGCGCCACAAGAAGCAGTCAACCACCCATCGGTGAGTAACCGCAGTGGAAGCGGTGGACAGATCAGGCAGCTACCTCAAGCCGAGAATGACTGAAAGTACGAGGTCATGGTTTCACCTGGATATATAGTCTGGTGTCATGTCTGGGGGGGTTTCTGAAACATGGCCAAGGAGCGTCCTCGGTGAAGGATACTGGGCGTGTTACGCGTACGAAAATGGCTGGCATTTGGAGCAGAGCAGAGATTGAGTCTGACTACCGCCACCTTCTGGTTAGTACAAACTTTCTTGAATACTGTCTGCGTACGGCTTGGTGGTTATAGGTGTGACGGAGGTTCGATTGGATAAATGGACATACGCTGAGACACACGTCGGAGTATATGATGGAGGAGAGACAAACCAGCTGGTGAAAGTATTCGGATTAGGTAGTAATGTTACGCCATAGACGACAGGGTCGTTGTAGGTTCTCTGGCAGGATTATTGGATGATGACTGCAACATATCGGAATCATCGAATCTCTGGTCTTCTTATTCTTGGCTTTCTTTCTAAATGCTATTATAATGGTTGCCCTTCTATACCAATGGGAACCTTCCAACTTAAGGACCGAACAAGAACATCCGAGCGCGATTGCCTTGCCCTTTGTGGGCCACAGACAGATGGTCAGATTCAAAACAAAAGCCCGAAAGGGAAGAATGAGTTAGTGCAACAAAATGAAAACCGAATCATTATACAGTTGGGTGATATGCTCTTATAGTTGCTCATCTGAACCAATGCACCGAAGTATGGAAAGAGATATCTTCAAACAACCGAGCAGCCTCGAGAAATAGAGTGGCATAAACGCGCTGGGTCTAAGTAGCACAAGAACAACACAATAACGGGTATCAAACGCTCAAAATGATGGAACTGGACGTGACTCGCCCAGTATGGTGCTGACGGAAGCATGCAGTCGTGGCTCTTGATCATGATTGGTTCTGAGAATCAGAATTCTGCTGCGCTTCGGCTACCAGTTTGGCCACCTGCGGCATGGTTGTCTCATCGATGCTATTCCTCCGGCCCCAGTTAGCTGGCTGCCTACGGAGAAATACGCCAACTGCGCCGATATAGCCTTCGTGGCGCAGGAAGTAGGCTTGTTTCTCGCCCTTTGACCAGAACTTGATGGCGTAGGACAAGGTGTTCATGGTCTGCCGATGGCCTCGAATGAACGAACCGCCAAAATAGATATGCTTCACTTGATGCTTTTCGGACTGCAGATAGGCAATCTGCCCGATGTTGTTACTGTGAAATGTTAGTCCCAACCGTACAGTACTGATTGAATATGCGAAAGCATACCTTATGGCATAAAGTAGGCTCCTACTCATGTCTTCGTGGTGAAACTTCGGCTCGCCATTAGTTTGGCCGGCTTCGCCATGGGAAGAGCCTTCCCCTTCCATGTCACTCGGCTCCGTCTGGTTCTTCATACGGAAGACCTTGCCAAACGTGCTAGCAATTGCAGTGTTTTTGAGACCAATCTTGCTGTAATCCATGCCGTAAATGTCACCAACCAACATGTCTACCCCGCTGTTGTCCCCTCGGTCCGCCATTGCCAGCATGTCGTCGAAGGTGCGGGCACCGGTCAACAATGACATTATGCCCCAGAACGTACCACCACCGAGGTGTGTACCACCCACACGTTGGAACTGCTTGGGGCCTGATACTTTGATCATCGACACACCGGAGCCAATGTTGACTAATAGATACGGGTAAACATCCGGTCGGGCCTCGGCAAACTGCATCGGCTCGGTTTCACTGTAGGTAAAGACCTCGTTCGGAATCTCAGTGATGAAAAAGTCAAGGCCTATGTAGAATGGTCAAATCTCGGACTTTGCTTGTTTCTCTTGCAAGTGAGCTCGCGGTTGCAGCATACCTGTAATAAGGCATTCCATCTCGTCCTCCCGAATAATGTCCACATTGAGCGCTTCCTTGAGCTTATCGTAGTATTTGAAAGCGCCTCCACCCGTAGCCATCACACATAAAGCATCTCCGGATGGTCCGCCGAGCTTCTCGTGTTCCTCTTTCAGTTGCTTGATGAAGTCAATGCACAGATCAATGCGAGATGTTTCGAAATTAATAAAATTGAGTCGGCCGCCATTGTCGACAGAGTCCAGCTCCCGTGTGAAGTAAACCAGTTTAGCTAGTGATCCGCCAATCTAAATGTCGGAGCAGCAAGAGTCAGTCAATCAAGCCGTGGTGGTGGAATTGCGCCGAGGGGTGCGATTGCG